TCAAAGCTCTAAATACGCCATGTTTTAATGGAAGTCCAGTTCTTGAGTTTGTTAGGTCAAAAATGGCAAGCAAGGTCAGACTCCACTGCTGCCAGAACTTTAGCCTTGAGCACATTGCTATTCAAAGATTGAACAAAACATCATTTTTGCTCCTTTTTGGCCAATGAACCTGAAAAAATATAAAAACTTGCAAATGAAGATAATCTACATAGAATAATCAAATAATGGACTTAACTAATGCGACTAAGGGCGCTTGAATATGCAATAACATGTAATTAATATAAAAAAATTAGTGTAGAGATCAATTCCCAAATAATCACACATAAGATAACATGTAATCATATAAAGAATCAATAGAAAGAATTAATCCATAAAAATTAAAGGAGAACCCAAGATTCATTAAATTCACAAGACTAAAACACTAATCACAAGATATTATTCCCCAAAAAGTATGAAAGAGATTGAGGTTTAGATTACAAACTTCGGGCTCATCCAAGCCCCAAGGACAAGTTTAGCCAATCATGGAGGAGATGGATGTGATCTTGAAACCCTCAAGGGCAATCCCCAAACATGGCTCCATCTTCTTCTTCTTCTTTTTTGTTAAATTCTAGAAAGAGTGTGTGTGTAAATCTTAAGATGTGTTCTTCGTGCCTCCACTCTTCTCTTTTCTTCTAACCCTAATCTTTAACTTTTTTAGAGAGAGAAAATAAAATTACAATGAAATAAAATTGAAGACAAAAGATGTTTTTCAAAATGGTTCAATTCCCTTTAAATACAAAGTCCTTGGAGTAGGCACCAAGTCAGAAGTACAGCCTTTGATTGGAGGAAATTTGCAGCTACACAAGTTAAGTAGAGTCCGGCGCGCTTGGGAATTAAAACAGCTCACTGCCAGTAGTCAGTTCGATCGATTGAAGATTTTCGATCGATCCAACACTTAGCTTCGATCAATCGAAGCTGATGTGTCCTCAAAATATCTTCTGAGCTTTATCTACTTTGCTGAGCTGGCACCGCCTCATTTCAATCGATTGTAGACATCTTTGATTGATTGGGATTCCCTTCGATCGATCGAAGCTCCTCTGGTGCATTTTTCTGGCTTGTTTCCAACTTTGCTCCTTAGCTCCAAAATTGAGTTAAATGACTCTTTTTAGCCTGTTTGAACTTTATTGACCTGAAATAAGCAAAAACATAAACATGAGAGTAAAATAGATGAATGGACTAAAATACCCTAACTTAGGTACTAAAATGCGTCACATTTGAGTATTTATTAGTCCACGCCTTGTATTATGAGATACCTATCCTGGCCTTTACACGTCCACAATCCTCGATGGTGGACTGATGCTTTAATGAAATTCGCACTTGGACGCCCACAAAAACATCTGGACTTTGGGTCGGGCTAGATACTAAGCCCAAATCCACATGTAGAACTGCCTCTAGTTCAAACCCCATTAGACCAGCTAACTCTAAGGTTGCACCCTTCATAACCCACGCTGAAGGAGAACATCATTATTATTGACTTTTGAGAAGCCGTCTGACAATCCAACAGCTAGCACGGATACCTAGGAAATCGCATCATCCCCGGCAACCAAACAGTAGGTAAAGACAAGTTCACCGGCGAAATTCTTTCAATAGCATCGAGGGCAACATAGAACAATTTACGAATTGGACGATCAATCAAGACACCATTGAGTGCCTAAAGCTCAAACGAAACAAGATTTCTTGTGGCACACAGCCATAAACCATAAGCGCCGCCGTCCGCCGCTACTATGAAATCCATTGTCGGATAGTTGCAATTCTGATGTGAAGGAAACCAGGCTAACAATTTTGGAACGCCAATCCAGGTCTCATACTTTTGCTGCATCAATTGATGTGGAAACCGAGACGAAAAAGAAAGAGATTGCACCAGAAAACCACCGGCAGTGGAATTGCAATCATAACAGAAACCCAACTCTGATCATTGCGAACAATTGAAAGCCCCCTCACCAAATTCTTACCACCCTAACCAAAATATTTGGCATCATCTAGCCACAGTCCATAAGCATGGCCAACAAAAAGACACGCCTCACTGATAACAGGTTGACCCGCTGTAGGAAACCAAGGAGACGAGAACCATGGTGGAACATAGAAAAAATAAGGCAAACATAAACAACAAAAGATAACAAGGAAGACATAGAGAGTAAGAAGAGAAGTACGCATAAAGAAAACTTTACCGATACCAGGATCAAAAGGAAAGAGCATCCAACTCTATCCAAGGCACCAAAAGCCTGGTGTTACCACCATCGGCTCACCGGTCCGGGGAAGCAAACCCATAGGTCCTTCTTGCCCCACATGGGCCATACTATAGGCATAACTGATGCAAGATTCGCTAGAAGTCATACCATGGAAACACTAACAACGTGAGAGAATCTCAAACTTAGAGAACCAGAGAAACTCTTACGAAGAGAGAAGCTCATACTTAGAGGAGAGACTTTTCCCCTCCAAAAGTTAGTCTTGTTATATTATGAGATATGACATGGTAAAGCCCATCAAATGGACAATTTATGGGAGGTTAGAGTAATTTTGAAAATTATAAAAAAAATTTGTGTAATTATGACAAATATCAAAGGAGGTTAGTGTAGTTTACGCAATTTTATTTTTCTAGTTAATTTCTCTCATCCTTTTTTTAATTTTTTCCCCTTAGTTAATTTCTCTCATCCTTTTTTTTAATCTTTATCATTGTCCCTTTGGCAAAACAAGGAATTTGCAGTGGTGGTCTGCATTCAAAATTGGCAGCTGATGGGAATGAGTCTAGCATCACCTTCAAAGAAGGTTATTACAATTTTCAAAAATGTCAAGGGACATGGATATAATCGCAAACATGCTTTGCTGGCTGGAAAGTAATTGAATGGACACACACTGCACGCACAACCATTGACAATTTCCCAAACTGCCAGTAGTAGGCCAAACTGAAAGGTGTCGGTCATTTGGGGCAAAAACATGGTTTCTCTCTTGGTCAAAGTAGGCTTTCTACACCGCTATTTTTTTATATTATTTTAATAATAATATAATTAAAATAATTTTTATTTATTTATTTGTTTTTTTTTCTGATTCCTACGTAATCAAAGGATGTATACTTGTAATTAATGGGCATAAAAGCCACGTTTGTTTACTTTGTTACGAGCTCACAAAAAGGTTGTCTTTACCTTTCCGAATGGTGGCCCAGATAAGCGTGACATGACGGGCTTCCTGAGGCTCCAAGTTGGTCCCCATCTATCAAAGCTTTTCTTTGACTAGGTGTGTTTTCATTTGCCTCAAAAAAAATTTTAAAAATTTTTTGTTGAAAATGTATATGTATATGTATATAATATATAGCATGTACATATCAATTTTTAACATTTTAAAATGTGTGCAAATTGCTTTCTAATATTCGTTGATTGTCAATTTTGGTTTTTTTTTTTAATATAAAATTTTCAAAATACCTTTAAAAACTAAAAGCCGTGGTTTTTATTTTTTAGGTCTTAAGGGCATTTTAGGTATTTTAGTTTTAAAATTGACAAAATATCCTTATTTGTTAAATTTAAAAATGCAAAGGATGTTTCGAATATCTGAAGAGTACTTACATATTCTGTATATAACATAGAGTAGTCTTTTTTCTTTTTCTTTTTTCCACACTAAAATCCATTTTTATAAAAATTGGATCAATTTTTTTTTTTTTTTTTTTTTGAATGGTAAAAATTGGATCAATTGATAACAATGAAGGTGGTGAATAACATCTATGAACAATATAGAGAAGATTGGGTTAAAGAGATTATCATTTACTAAAATAGGACTTGAAAAAGAGTAAAGGCTAATAAAAGGTATTGTAGTTTAATGGTATCTTTTCACCTTTCAAAATAGTAGGTGAAAGGTTCAAGTCACCAAAGAGAGCAAAGTGGGTGTGCATTCTTGCTAATGAGAAAAAAAAAAAGAAAGAAAAAAAAAAGAAGTGAAGGTTATATAGCAATTAAATTTAATTCGATCAAAGAATTATATAAGACTAATATGCATAATTGACATTATTAACGGTATGTGTGTTATGAAGTTGATACACTTGCTCTAAGAGAGAAAAAAAAAAAAAAAAAAAAAAAAAAAACATATTGTTTTTCTTAAAAAGGAGCTTAAGAGTTCGAGTCCTCCTAGAAGCAATATTATGAATGAACTAAGTACAAAAATATTGCATACATCCCACGCCTCAATTATTTAATCAAGTTTCCTAGTCCAATATTTAGCAAATTAAGAACAATGCTTGCATACTCACCGGTTAGTAGGTGCAGCCTAGATGTGGTCCAGTCACAAGTGCACATATCGTCTTTAATTACAAAATTAGGAAAGTAATAAATAAATAAAATAGCTAATTCCGTTAATGGTATTTTGTATTCAACAATCCTCTCTGTTTTTTTTTTATTATTATTTTTTCGATTTTGTAATGAAAGACAATGTGTGCATTTGTGATGCCCACATAAGCTGCCAGTAGGCTGCACTTACCGGTGAATATACAAGTACTGTTCTTTTGGGAAAATAAATCATTATAGAAGAATGATATTTAATATGAAAAAAAACTAAGAGTAAAACTATGAAAAGAATCATGTACTTTTTACAAATTTAGAAGGCTATCTCACATCCATTGATTAATAATAGCTTTATAAAACAAACAATTGGTATATTTTTCATTTTCAACATGCATGTGCCTAATTTGGTATAATTTGCATGCCCATACTTAAAAACGAAAAATAGCATAAACTCTAGACAATTATTATCTAACCATAGAAAACTTATAATTTTTTTTTTTTGGTTGTTGAGTTTTTCAGATCACTCAGAATAAACCCTTCTTTAACAATAGCAAAATTTAAAGCATAGTTAGTTGTGCCCTATCAAACTCTTAAACCTAATGACAAAAACATGAAAAATTAAAGCATGGCCGGTAAATCAATACTATCTTCCGGCATGGTTGTTCCCCATCACTAGCTCTTCCTCTTCCCAACATCTCACTCATTCCACATCGAAAACACACCAGGATTCGAACCCTGGACCGAGTCCCCGGACCACCCTCCATAACCACCGGCACCAGGCGGCATATCATAATCGACCTTAACCAGCGCAAGCTCCTCCGCCGCCGGCCCTCCTGCATTAGCTGATATTGCAGTAGTAGCAGTACTATTCAGAGCCACCCCAAGACCATTCCCCAAATAACCTCCACTATAACCACCACTCGAACTTCCATTACTCTCCATGACAGATGATGGAGAGCCACCCATGTTGTTCATCAACCCATGCAGCAAAACCGGGTTGCTCTGAAGGTAATTGTTGTAGAACTGAGAATTCTGATTATGGTTCGAATGGTGCAAGTAACTAGAACCAGTCTGGTGGTGCAACCCTAGCTGTGTTTGGATGTAGTTTTGGTGGAATTGGGACTCGTGTGTGTATTGACATATGTCTTGGTTTTGTAGGGTTAGTAGTGGTTGGGTTTGCTCAAATGGCTGCTGCATTAGAGGATACGGTTGTAAAGTGCTGCCTGAGCTTGAGCTTCCATACTGAAAGCAGCTCGAGCCGAGCGCTATCATTTCTTGCTTTCGCGATGATTCGATGGCTTGAGCCTCCTTCAGGCGCTTCGCGGCACCTCCTCCGATTGGAAGAGTGTTGCTTTCGAGTATGCTCTTCACGTCGTAGCGGTTCATGTCGAAGTTGGTGACTGCATTGAGGCCTCTGAACTTTATTGCTGCAATGTCATATGCTTCAGCAGCTTCCTCCTCAGTACCTGCATTAATTGAATGTTCCAAAGAATTGATTTATATGTTCAAATGTTACAATTTATAGTTGTCCAGAATTAATTTAGTCACGTGACTTACTGAAAGTCCCCAAGTAGAGGTCTTTATTTCCTGCAACTCTCCCAATCCTTGCTTGCCATCTTCCATGTTGATGATGCCTGCTAATAGACCTGGGTGAGAGAGAGAGAAAGAGAGAGAGATGTGTGTGTGTGTGTGTGAGTATGTGATGTGTTTTCAATACCTTGTCACTCCACGATACATGGATGCACCTCTGGAGAAACCACTACTTTTCCTGAAATTTTATCCAGAAGAAATCAAAACTAGCCTTAAGATCGATCATATAAAAATGCTGTAGAATTAAACAGTGCAACAGCACAGATAGGACAATGTAGATTAATATTATATGTGTGTATATATATATATATATATATATATGCCTCTGCAGGGGTCGGTAGTGTGCAGAAGATCTTGTTCATACTATCATATGGTGCCAATAATAAATCTAATTAAAGATAGAATACATTTTCTGTAACAGTCAGAACTACAGATACATGTCTCTTTACCTTCTAATAGAGGCTACAAATTCTTGTCTGGTCATATTTTTCATCTCCTCTAGTTCCTTCTCATAGTTACTAATCTGTGATTAATTACAAAAGCATTAATATGCATCAATCAACAACAACATGCAATTAACACTCAAAAACAATCATGGGTACTAATGAAAACTTCTTGCAACATATACAGACTGGAAAATTGGTAGTAGTAGATGTTCCCCAGTACTTCAGTGCAGCCAGATCGTAAGCCCTAGCTGCTTTCTCTTCTTTGTCATATCCACCTGCTCTCAAAAAAAAAAAAAAAAGTATATAAGTTTTAACAACTTCAGGTTTGTTTGGTCCAATTTTCTGAGAACAGTTTCCTATTTTAAAAACCGAAAATCAGAAAATTGTACAAAGATCTGTTCTGTAAAAAAAGTTCTAAGAAACTTTAGAAATGATTAACTGAAAGAAGTTAATATTACTCACCCAAATAGACTGCGCAAATGACAAGAGTGCAAAGACATCCCATGATGACAGTGGAGAATAGTTAGTAACTTTTCAAATAATAATCAGTTGCACAAATTAAAAAGCTTTATATATGTATATATACATGAAGTATGATCGAGCTTGTACCTTGGCGACCTTTCCTTGATTGTCCCTCCCTTCTGCAACTATTATCCCAGAGATGAGCTTCGTACCTTCCTGTCCATCTATGCCTATATTAACCATGGAATACAACTTACAAAATAAATTTAGAAATAAAACAATTTTCAAACAAACCTAAAATAAAATTTTAATATTGAGTATTGATGAATCCAAATCTAGATGCTGACCTAGTTACACCACGATAAATCGATGTTCTTTGCCCAAATGTGTCCAGAGTCCTCCTAGGGGCAGCAGCTTCGACCGTGGCAGTAGTACTGTTATCACCACTGGTTTCACATGCTGAACCCTTACCACTCCCCATAGACAATGTCAATGACTGTAAATTGCCGGCATTTTCTTGAAGCTCATAGTTATTAGTGGGAGTGGCCGCTAAGGTACTGTTCTGCACCGGCATAAGACTGCTGGTTTGAAATAGGTAATCGGTGTTAGTGTTCGCCTGAATTTCATTGTATGCCACAAGATCTGACTGGTTTTCGGATTTGCTCACGCCAAGAAAGTCCGCGACCTTCGGAACATCACCACTTCCATGAGTGTTAATCATATTCCACTCTGTGAAAGAGAGAAAGAAATAATTAAATCGAACAGAAGAGATCTAGAGAGAGAGAGATGTGGGGAAAAAATATTGTATACCTTGTGTTTGAAAAGGGTTATCAATGTTATCACTCACTAGGCCTAGAGAAAAATGATGAGACTGAGAAGTATGGAGATGTGGTGGTAAAGAAGAATGAGTAGGGGACAGAGGAAAGGAAAGCCAGTTGTTTGAGTTCATGGAGCCCATTTGCTTTAATTTAGGGTTTTCTAAGCACAACACTGCTGCCTATGAATCAATCAAAATTCTCCTGCACATACCAAAATCTAATCAAATATACATACGAAAATCTATATATTGGCAACAAACACTAACATATTAATGCAAGAGGAGACATCTAGTGTGTGTGTGTGTGTGTGTGTGTGTGTGTGCGTTAGATGAACTGCATGATATAGATTTACCCAAGTGAGGGTATAGAGATAGTCTGCAGCAGTGAAGCCTCTCTCTCTCTCTCTCTCCCTAAAATGTTATATTTGGTGAAGAATGCAATTATAGACCATTGATAGAGAGAGGGAGGAGTAGAGGTGGAAAAGAGATGTACTGAGAAGGAAACAAGGTATTTAAATCTCTCTCTCTCTCTCTCTCTCTCTCTAGTGTATAGGTTTGTCTACCAACCCCCTTTGCAATGGTCATTTTAAGTGTACTGACACTGATTACCAAATTCCAACACTTCTAAACTGGTCATACAACAATTTTTTTTTTTTTTATATTTTAATTTTAACATACTAATTAACAAGGGACATGAGTGTCTTATCTTACTAATAATACTACTAAAATTTGTGGTCCACTATCCAGTCTTTGTACTGGGACAAACCCACAATTCCAACTGGAAAAATCCAATCCAAACACTACCCCTCTCTCTCTCTTCTCTTCTCTCCTCTCTCTCTTTCTCTCTCTAACCCACCACCCACTTGGTTTATTGGAACTCTCTTCCTCGTTATGTGTAATAAATGACTCCTCAAAGCCCAGCATTCCCACACTATGCAAATCATCTCTTGGAGTAAAACTCGACAGTCTACGTAAAGTTACCGACCTCTCTCCTCTCTCTATTGTGCAACCAGTTAATATTATTGTCCACGCATATACTCTAATATATATATATATATATATATATATACAATTAATATTTTGTATTAAAATATATATCAAAGAACTTAAAAATAACATTGCACAGTGTTGACAGGACTTAAGGGTCTTGTGGGACCCACTATTCCCGACTTGGACAAAGTATCTTGTAGGGCACAATATTTGTGTCAAGGGTTTGTGTCTAGTCAGTGGACTTAGCACAACTTACATTCCAACTAGGGTGCACTCGGTATTGTTGATCTTGGTCCATCACAAAGCCATACATAAATTAAAAAAATTGATTGATAATAACATATAAAGACATATTTTTAGTATACGTTGTTATGTGACTGGCCCAAAATTAATGATTACGAGACCTTGTAATAATTTTTATCTTTTAGTGGGATTTTCGATTCGGCAAGAGTAGCTCAGCTCATATCAAATCATCTTAAACCATATAATCTAGGAGCAAGGGCTCTTAATTAATGTATCAGTCACCAAAAAGCAAATTTAGTAAATTGTAGATCCCCGAGTCCTGCATGTGTTAAAAATCTATGCGTACGGACAAATAAATATTAAACAGAAATATCCGACATATTAAATAATAAAAGGACTGGTGATGAGTGAGAATTACTCATCCAAAATACACCAAGGGTTTTCACAATATAAAATTGACTTGGAAGATATTTAAGAAAGATTGAACGATTTCGTTTGGTTTTCCAAGTTGAAATCTGTTGACCATCTGATTGGAAACCGCACTCGTCAAAACGTTAAAGCAGATTTAAATATAATATATATATATATATATATACATAATTATATATATATGTATATATATATTGTAGTGCATGAGCATGTCCTCTACAAACAAGAAGCTTGTATTACTGTACTAGTAGCACTCTCTGTCTATGAGCGTTCTGTCTTCCACTCAAAAAAACCAATAAAGTCTAATAAAATTGAAAGATGTTAACTGGCCATTTGCTCAAATGCTATTTAACTTCTTTGGGAGATAGAGTGTTCGAGCTCTGATTGGAACAATGTGAAAGTGTGTGCCTTAGTTTTAAATTTTTGGGAAAAAAAAAAATTATGATCCTAGAATTGAGATGAACTGAACTCATCAGACAGTCTGGATCAATGGAAAAATTCAGTGCAGTTTGACAGATCTTGTTGTTTACAGTACATTTCTTTTGAATATATATATATATATATATATATATATATATATTTACACACACATAACTCTAGCCCATCTAGCTAGCTAGTTCTTTTGTGTGTTCATATATGTTCATTCTTCTACTAGGTAGGTTATGTTTGTTATATTCTGGTATATTTTATCTGCATATACACAGCATGCATATTGTATATACGCAAGCACACATAGACATTCACGACAAATAGACACACACTCGTGTGTGTAGAGTGATAGGAGAAAACTGCTATCAAAATATCAAATTAAAACTAAAAAAATAGAAAAGAAAAGAGTCCAATCAGTTTGTTTTCTAATTATATTTTACAAATAAAATGGTTCAAATATTGATGACAAATATAAATAACGCGCATGTAATCCACAAGGAGGACGAAGGAAAAAAAAAAACATAAAGAAAAAGAACACACACATGACAAAGGATCGATGAACATTATGTTTGATAAAAAATAATTAATTTTCTGTTCTAAATTCATATGTAATTTATCTGAATATATACACATAAACATGTATGCATATCTATATGCATGAAAAGTGGTACACATGTACATATTCACCATATATAGACAGACACACACAGACCCAGACACACGTGTACACACACACACATATATATATATACTGCTATGAAAAGAGGAAAAAATAAATAAATAAAAGAAAAACAGAAAAGGAAAGATAAGGGTTCTGACGAGTCCAATCAGAACCAAAATCTAGTAATCTACCAGGAAAAACTAAAAGGAAAAAGCAAAATATATATATCAACAGATACACACTCTATATATATATATATATCACACACAAAGAAAAAAAAAAAAAAAACACTCCAAATTAAGCCAAAATATGGATGAAGGTGATTAATATCTTTTATACATATTCACCATATATATAGACACAGACACACATAGACCCAGACACACGTGTACATATATATATATATACACACTGCTATCAAAAGAGGAAAAAAATAAATCAAAGAAAAACAGAAAAGGAAAGATAAGGGTTCTGACGAGTCCAATCAGTTTATTTGCCAATTATATTTACAAATGAAATGGTTAAAATCTAGTAATCTACCAGGAAAAACCAAAAGGAAAAATAAATAAATAAATAAATAATCAATACATACACACTCTATATATATATATATCTATACATGCACACTCTATATATATATATATATAGACATGCACACTAAAAAAAAAAAAACCACTCCGAATTAAGCCAAAATAAGGATGAAGATGATTAATATCTTTTATTCAACTTTAAAATGAAATGAAAATGAAAATGAAATCACCTGCGATTGTTGATTGACACATTTCCCGCCAAATTCTCATAGATATATGTGTATATTTATATATATGTGTAAAATTTGGACTGGGGTTGACTGAAGTGCTTGGCAATAAGGAGACAAGGACCCACGTCTCTCGCTTTCTTCAACCTTTTTTTAACTCCAACTCCGAGCAAATTCTAAAACCCTAAAACATAAATATTATTACCATGAAAGAGAAACATACACAAACCCTTTTCACTAACACAATCAACAAAAAATATGCTTAAACAAAGAGTTGTTAGTGAGAATAAGGGAAAAAAAAACCACGGAAAATAAAAGAAAAAAAAAATTGCAGAGAAATTATAGAAGAACTTACTAGTATTCATTCAACTGCCTAATTAACCAAGGAAGAAGAATCTCTTTCTCTCTCTACAGAAACTATCCATGTCCAGATGCATGTTTTTGAAAATTGTAGTGAGAGAGAGAGAGAGTGCAGGGGTTGGGGATTCGCCACCGGCCATTTAGGGTAATTAATTTAATCAGACCGCCACGCCGTTTCAGGTTTCGCAGCGGAGGAATGTGACTGCCACGTGTCGGTTCCATTTTAGTGTTGGAAGTTGAATATTTTGACTTTATTATCGGCTTTGCATGCTTGCCCTATAACCAAATAAGAAAAATAAAATAAAAAAACACACCAGAAAAGGACATATAAATGAACGGGTGATTTATTAGTATTTATTTATTTTTTTGTCGGTAAATAAGGAGTGAACTTGTTGTAACTTGGCAAAATGACCATCATGCCTATAAATTTAATTTGTTTCCAAAATCATGCCATGAAACTCACTAATGACAATAACTCACTTCTTGTGTGTGATTTTAATAACTTAGTTATCATCTATTTATTATTTTGATAAGAAATTTAGGCATTCATTTTTTTTCATTGATATTTGAATTAGAGGTAGGCAAATAATTCGTCAATTTGTGAATCCAATTCGATTCGGATTGGTAATTCGTGAATTTGCGAATCCGATTCGTTTCGGATAGAATCGGATTGGATTGCTACACCCACGGATCGGTGGCGGATTCAAAAAAATCGAATCCATAATTTACCGATCGGATCATGGATTGAGCAGATAAAAATATGATCCGATCCGATTCGTTAAATTTATATATATATTTTAAAATAATATATTAGTTAATTTAATTAGTTAATGATAATTTAATGGATTCTAAAAATGTATTAGTTAATAATTATTTAAATATATGAATTAATATAAATAAATTAAAATTTTTTTTATTGGGTTATGGTTAAAAGATAAATAAATAAATAAATAATAATAATAATAATGGATAACTTAGATAAAATCTAATTTGCGGATTTAATTCGATCCGTTATTACACGGATTTGATCTGATCCGATCCGTGGTATAACGAATTGTTGGCGGATTAAGATTTGTCTAATCCGTTGGGAGTGGATCTAATCCGTGGCCATCGGCTTATGTGAATCTCACCTCTAATTTTTTTGAAAAGTGGACCAGAAGAAGATATTCAATATACTCGGAACAAGTAGATATGGGAGGTTGTGACGGCTTGGTGCACGGTACGCCGGGTATATACATTGAATATCTTCTCCTGATTGACCTGACAGCACCA